CATTTCATCCCCAAACGTAGTGAGCTTCAATGACTTTATTGGAGAGAAGAAGTCTGTTTTTGATGACTGGACTCGATCTTGGATGAAAATTTTCAGAGCTGTTTCACCTTTATCACAAGCACTTTATATGTCATCTCTGACAGTCTTTGTAGCAACAACACCAGAGCTAATACATACAAGATCTTCACGAGGCAGCAAGGGATTGATCATAGACTCAACCGCTGAAACCAAAGATGTAACAGCAGCATTGTCTTTTGCAATTCTTGTTGCATCCAACTCTTTATGACCCCTCTCTTCATGTTGCATTCCAGCCATCATTTCACACTGCCTTGTGATTGCAGAACGTTCAGGATGAGACAGTATCCATCGCTGGACGGCACCTCTGTTCAATGTTATCCCAGTTATGCCGCCTTTGGTCTTTTAATCACGGTTGCAGGTTTGTTCTATTGCTTGGTCACAAGCTATGGATGAGAACCTGTTAGCATCCTTACGCTGTACTGTCCAGTTTCCTTTTGCAGTAACTTCTTCATAGCAGTGTGGATGAGTCTTTGGAAGATTGATCATCTCGACCCAATATGCTGATAGGTACCTTGCATAATTTTGGTGGTCATATGCAAAATACCATGCCAGCATACGTCTCACTGTTGCTAAGTGAAGGCTCCAGTCAGAGCATTAGATAGGACATGTATATTTAAAGCCCTACCTTCTTTAGAGAAATAATTTGATTATGGAATTACATTGCATTCACACGCAATATGTAAATGTAATTGGAGTGACCCCACAGATTTGTGAACAAACATTTTTTTGTAAACACCTATATGTTTTTCAGTTTTGCTGAGAAATCTTGTGTAATCTCGATAGCAGGATTTGTGGTATTGGACCTCGATTGCAATGCAGTCTTTCCCACGAATGTGTGTCAGAATGCTCTCATCTGATTTCATTTGAGCTGCCTCACGAAGAAGTCCTATATTAAAGATATGAAGAATAAATTATAAACCCAGTTGGCAATATATTAACTTGCATAACATTTAATTCAAGTGAGTAAACATACCTGTGTTAATCGAGCTTGATCGCCGCTATCAGATGAAGCTGCGCTGCTTAAGTCCTCCTCCATGTTGACATGTGCGTAGTGATATTGGCTTGATTTTGGCTCTGACCTACTTACATTTTCGATGCTGATTGGTTGAAAATCTAGCTCAACAGTTTTATATGTCTCAATACGCAGTCAATATAGTGCGCCAATAAATTACACTTTTATCATTAACTGCAGGATAATGCGTGGAGAACTTTTTGCTTGGATACCTTTTATTAACGTTGCACATATTGAGCAAAAGAAAAAGTAGTGCCCCGTTTGTCGGAACGAAACTGAACGATACAGCTCACGTACAGCGGCCTAATTGTCATGTAACAATATATCCTATCACCAAAGTAATGTTTAATGACAGGATTCTTAAGAATGTGCATATGCATGATTGGCATTTGAACGTTTCAACTTTCCAGGCACCAGGGTTTGTTTAATTCAAAGAGTGAAACGGCAAGGGATATTCTCGTCTTTTTGCCCTGTACGTGCCCTCGGGTGGGCAGCGAGGTGAAGGTGTTTTGCCATGGGTCTTCTCTTGCTCTTTCGGAAATTCCCTGGGTTACTCCTTGCATCATCATTCAGTTTTACCTGCTTATCTCAGACCATATGGCGTAATAGTATTTTTTTTTATTTAAAGCTTTCGTGACTGCAGGGATTCATCTTATTGGTTCTTTCGGTAAAGTCACGTAGAATGGAAATAATAAAATAATAAAAATAAAACATAATTAAATAATTCTCACGAAGTTTCGGCCACAACGCAAGCAGCCGTCCTCAGGTCGAGAGCAGGTCTGTCGAGAAGACAGAGTCTGATGAAAATATACGAAATAGTTACATTACACCTTTTGACCTGAGCAACATGATTTTATGACAGTGCATTCTATCACATTAACGTATAACACCACGATGTTTGAAAATATTCCTATGAGGTGGTGGTCAATCCAATTGTACAACTTCTCCAAGCCGAGGCTTGTGGATAATTAACCTTTCGGGTGAGGCAGCAGGGCGTGCTTCTTTGGCCGTTGTTGTCTCAAAGAGGAGTACGCAGGCCCCCGTGACTGCATTTTGTTTAGAACGCGCTAAATCTAGACATGGGAAGAAAAACAATTACGATAAAAATAGGCAATATCACTCTGGAAAAAAAAAGATACAATACAGACGAGACAGAGGACTTCAAATCGAGATACACAGACTCATAGGCCTTTGTGTCTCGAGAGACAATTTCTTTTGCGCCTTACGAGGTCAGCTGTAGGTTTGGCAGCGCCTAGAATGACTTAGCAGGCCAATCCCTGAGTGGCAATCCTTGCCACAACAATTGCAAGTGAATGCGGTGGCAGCGCTAGAGGTGTTTGCTGCTTGTTCTTTACGTCGCTCCCTCTTTGTCTGCCAAGCGGTGTGTCTTTTCTCCTCGCCTATCCTGAGGCCTGTTTTCACAGCCTGCTGCCAGCTGAGTCGGTCAACGGCAGTTTTCTCCCAGTCATTTGGGTTGATGTCGCAGCTCTTCATGTCCCGTTTACAGACATCTTTGAAGCGCAGGACCGGGCGACCAGTGACCCGTGTGCCTGATGCGTACTCGCCATACAAGATATCCTTGGGTATTCTGCCATCCTGCATGCGGCGCACGTGTCCAAGCCATCTCAGGCGCCTATGACTGAGTAGAGAGTACATGCTGGGAATGTTGGCCAAGTTGAGGACTGAGGTGTTTGGAATGCGATCTTGCCATCTGATACCGAGGATGCGCCTGAGACATCGGAGGTGGAATGTGTTTAATCGATGTTCTTGAGGGTGCTAAGGACGCAGGCCCGATACACCTGCACTTTGGTGTTGAGCGTTAAAGATTTGTTCTCCCACACTCTTTTGGTCAACCTGAACATAGCTGTAGACACCTTCCCAATGCGCTTGTCAATCTCTGTGACAATGGACAAATTGCAGGTGATGGTGGAGCCCAAGTAGGTGAAGTCCTGAACGACTTCCAGGGTTTAGCTGCCAATATTTATGGAAGGGGTGTCTCTGACATCCTGGCCCATAACATTGGTCTTTTTCAGACTGATTGTCAGGCCAAAGTTGTTGCAGGCATTGGCAAGGTGGTCGATGAGTGTCTGCAGACCTTGTTCTGTGTGAGCTGTCAGCGCGGCATCATCAGCAAATAAGAGTTCTCTGATGAGGACTTTGCGGACTTCGGTTTTGGATCTGAGACGGCCAAGATTGAAGAGTTTGCCATCAGATCTTGTATGAACAAAGACTCCATCTTCTGCTGTCCCAAAGGCATGTGTGAGCATAAGTGAGAAAAAGATGCCAAACAGTGTTGGGGAAAGCACACACCCCTGCTTTACACCGCTGAGTATGGGAAATTCCTCTGAGGTGGTGCCGCTGTGCTGTATTGTTCCTTTCATGTTGTCATGGAAGGAGGAGATGACTGCCAGCAGCTTCGGAGGGCAGCCGATCACTTTGAAGAGTTTGAAAAGGCCTCCCCTACTGATGAGGTCAAAGGCTTTTGTAAGATCAATGAATGCCAAGTACAGGGGCATTCTCTGTTCTTGACATTTCTCCTGTAGCTGACGCAAGGAGAAGAGCATGTCAATTGTGGACCTTCCTGCTCTGAAGCCACACACAGACTAAAGACACACAGATTCATGTACGGTATTTTACAGACGGGACATAGATTAATTTATACAAGCGGTGAGTGAGAGAGAGAGGGACAGACTCTCGTCCCGTGTGTGAGTGAGTGTCAGAGTGCGAGTGAGTGAGTGTGTGAGTGATTATGTGTGATTGTGTGTGAGTGTGTGAGTGAGTGTGTGAGTGCGTCTCCGGGTTCAAGCAAGTGTTTAGAGTACAGTATCTCGATTATTTGGCTGCTATACATTTCCAACATGATGAGCCATTTTGTTGAGCTATCATTTGTGATGGGCAGGTCACTTCCAATAAATTAAGCTATTAGATCAGTGGGGCATTACACCTGGTAGAATAAAAATTGTTTAGTTTTATTAGTATTTGATTTTTTACAATAATGGTGAACGCCGATGGGCATTTGTGTTGCTGCGTGGGCATGCGTGTTGAGTAGCCGTGCGTGTGAATGTGAAACAACAACGCAGGTAAAGTAAGTGGTGCGTGCGGCTGTGAATGATTGGGACGGGGATCTCCAGTCTCGGATAATGTTAGTGATAGACGGTGACATCGCCAGCAGTGGGTGATGGAGGCAGGTATAGTTGGTGACAGATTCCCGCTGCTGGCAAATGGCTCAAGATTCTAGGATGGGTTACGGGAGGCTATAGACAAATTCCATCTGGGATGCCACAATGACATTCAAGCAACTCGTCACGTTGGGATAATTACACTGAGTTGGAGTTGCAGGACATCATGAGATATCTACAACTGTACCAACTGTTTATTTTGCTTTACCAGGCAAGGCTCACTGAGAAATTGGCTCTTTATCAGAAACGACCTGGCCACAAATGATGACTTAACACGTGTAAATGTATTGCGGCCAACTACTCTAAAAACGTGATGTTCATTGTAAATGTGGAGGGAAAAACCGGAGGACCCGGGTAAAATTTCACATGACCATGGACAGAGAGAGACGCAAACTTTAAAAAAGCTTCAGGGTTTGGTTCAAACCCACCACCTCCTGTATACCAGGCGAGGGAGATAACATCTTGCCACCAATTTGTTTTAGAAAGATGAGTTTTTCTCTCGACACTCATCTCATGAATGAGCCAACGCAGCTGAGCCTCACCGATTTATATTAACAACAGCACTCGTTTTTTTTAATGTCAAGATGTGTACAGTAGCCATGTTCACCTTGAGGCTGCTGTTTGCACACATAGGGGCGCGGGTTCACATTCCAGGCAGTGTCTCGTGATGTCAGTGACGACAATGAAAAAATGTTAAGTATTTTACTTCCTTCTTCACCGTCGCTATAAGAGAGAGGTCCTGGTCCAAGGTCTCTGAGACACACAGCGATCGATCCGAGTGAAGCCATTGGTCATGGCGAGCGCGACTCCCAGTGAGAGTGTGGATAGTGAGCTGCGCTGCTTCATCTGCCTGGGCACGTTCGTCTTCCCCGCCACGCTGAGCTGCGGACACTCGTTCTGCCTCCGGTGCCTGGAGGCCGCCTGGGAGACGGCGAGCAGCTTCAGCTGCCCGCAGTGCCAAGCGACCTTCCCTGTACGACCCCAGCTGAGGAGGAACGTGGCACTCGCCAACCTGGTAGAGCAGCTCAGAGTTGGAGACGGGATGGCCGCAGTCGTCGTGTGTGACCACTGCACTGACGGCCACACTCCTGCACTGAAGACCTGCCTGAGATGTGAGATGTCCTTCTGTGCGACACACTTGCAGCCTCATGTAGATAATCCCAGGTTGAGAGATCACGTCCTGGTGGCTCCCATCGCGAAAATGGAGGAGCGGCGTTGCCGGGAGCACAGCAAGGAGCTGGAATTCTACTGCACAGTAGACAGCAGCCTGGTCTGCGCTACCTGCACTAACGCAGGTGAACACAAAGGACACAAGGTCCTGACGCTGAAGAACGAGCACGAGACACGGAAGGTGAGGCTCTCAGAGCGAGATACCACAACATGAACGGTTCAATTATGTCACTGGGCTGCACAACATCTGATGAGAAAAACGTAATTGTGTGTTCACACTATTTTTTTGAATCTCTGTCTCTCTGCCTGGTTGGCGTTTTAGGAAACACCCTCGGGATGTATTGCAAGACAAGCTCTCATTAAAACTAAATACCGTTTAACGGAATTAAGTGAATAGATATTTGAGACCAATATCACAGCCACCAGATAGATAATTCTATTAGATTTATATTCTAAACTTGAAAGCTGTGGGCACATGGGCTTTTGGGTCCAAGTCGATACGGACACCAAGCCATCACGGCTCCCACCGGCTGCTGCTACAACGAGGCATCAGCTTGCCCACTCCCCGTTCCCCCCATCTCAGTCGCCATAGAGAGGCTTGCGTGGATATGAGGGCCTTAGCTGTGGAGGGGTCGGTGTGGAGGGAAGGGCGGTGTGAGGGGTGGCTCATGGGGCTGGAGTCTCCCCCTGGTGATGTCTCGTCTCTCACTACAGCCGCGCGTAGAGGAGGAGACGCGAGCGGTGGAGAAGAAGAAGAAGAAAGCGAAGAAGTTCGTGAAGCGGATGGAGGCTGCTCGCAAGGAGGCGCAGGTACCGTGTCCGGGTCTGGCTCTTTGACCCCCGTGACCTCCACCCAGTGTGGAAGTCGTGGTGGTCAAATTAATTCAAGCGAACTTCGTGCAGGTTCATAACATTGACGCCTCTTACTTGAACTAAATCATTAACGTTCAAACTCAACATTAACTACAAGTGGGTTGCACGTTTACCGCATTCGATAACCGCATTGTCGAGTCTGCCATGAGGTCAGGTTACTCGCCCTTCCGTCTACCACTCCTGTGGAAAAAAGATGACGTAGAAAGTGCGACGGATTTTCGGGGTGGAGCTGTGGTGCAGCTGTTGCACTGCACGGGAGGTTGTTCACCGGCACGGACGCAGAGGCACGAACACCGCACAGTTGCACCTCACCGTCCCTAATTGCGTCTCCATAGTCTATTTTAACTACAGCTATTTTTTTATTTATTCAGGTAAGTCCTCACTGAGCTGTCTAGCTTTTTTCAGAAACGACCTATCACAAATGATCACTCACCCAAGTGGCTGACATCATCATCACGTGGAAATTTATAGCAGCAGACCCATAGATATACATAGAGACCCATAGAGATACGTAAAAACACAGAGAGGTACAAAGAGACCCAAATAGATACATAGAGACCCATTCAGATACAGAGGGACAAATAGTGATACACAGGGACAAATAGAGAAACAGAGTGACACAAAGATGAATAGAGACCCATAGACTAAACTATTTTTATTTCGCCAGGTAAGGCCCCACTGAGCCATGCAGCTCTTTTTCAGAAGGAACCTGGCTATCACAAATGATGGCTCAATGAAATGGCTTATCAGGTGGAAATTGATAGCTGCCAAAAACTCTAAATACTGTACTCTAAACGCTTGCTTGAACTCGGAGCCGCTCTCTTGGGCTCTGCAGGTTCTTCACAGCAGATAACGAATACTTTGGACTCTAGACCCAAGTCGGACTCGTGGGAAAAACCTACCTGGATTATGCTGATTCTTAATATGGAGAGAAAAACCGGAGGACTCGGAGAAAAATCTCTGCAGGCTTCACGGTCGTGATCGAACCCACGGCCCCTGTATACCCGGCGAGGTAGTTAACATCTCACCACATCTCGTCACACCCATGAGGGGGCCCCCACTGTACTCTGAGTGCAGTCACACCATCACCCCACACATAATTCTGCTCTTATCAAGACGCTCATTCATCGAGCTAAGCAAGTGTCAGATGGTGACAGTCTGAGAAGTGAAATTCAACTGCACGTGTGGTAAATGTTATGTTGGTCAAACAGGACAAATGCTCAGCACGAGACGAAAAGAACATCAGAGAAATATAAAATTATCTCAAATATAGTGTCAGCGGTAGCAGAACACACGTGCCAACAAGGGCACTCAATTGATTGTGATAATATTGAAGTTATGTGCAAAACTAGCTACTACTGGCAAAGACTAATGATATAATCTATCGAAATTGAAATAAATAAAAATTACTTAAACCGTTCGGATAGCGAATCATCAAATAATAAATGTCTTAAATGCATGCCTATGTAATGAGAGAGCCCACCGGCAGGCAACGGAGGGCTACATAGGCACTGCTGCATCAGTCATTGCCAATCAGGGCTAAGGGTTCCATCTGGGCCAAAGTTAATGGGCGGAGCTCATGGGTACATGCGGGAACCATCGGGAAGGTTCTGAGGGGGATGTGGCTAGAGAGGTGGGGCTAAGCTCCGCCGGAGAGGATATAAGGAGAAGCAGGAGAGGGACTCGGGGTCGGTGTGGAAGCCTGGAGTCCAGACTGCATCTCCACCATCTCGTCAAGCCACCGGCCACGTGGCGGGCTCGAGGGCGGAAGATCTCCCGGCTCCCTGCACGCCAACAACAAGTGGTGCACGGGAACAGAGAGAGTGAGGGAAGGCGTGCGGAACAGGGGAGCAGTGAGCACGTGCATGCAGCGAGAGAGAGAGAGTGACCATCCAGAAGGAGTGCGGAATCGAGCAGTCATCAATAAATAATAAAAGGATGCAAGTCTCTATCTGTCGTGGCAGTCATTTATTACACCTGTAGAACTTGAGATAACACGCGCCACGCATTTGGTTGTGATGCGAACATGCAGCGGACAGGGGGGGGCAACCGGGGACACGGACAGTAGGCGAGCCCATAAAGTTGTTGTTGCGCCAATTAAGGGGTGAGGTCATTAAGAGACGCCACAGGTGTTAAGGGTAATTGAAGATGCAGGCCGGTGATTGGTCGAGAGGGTGAGTGGTCGAGACAGGCTCCGGGGTGTCTACGACAACAACATCACGTGAGGCTGGCGGGGGATGACATAATTAATTCAAGCTAATTGGTTCGGGGATAAAGGCAGAGCGTGGCGGAGATACGGGAGTTGGTGTTGGAGTTGGAATTGGAGTTGGTGCCTGGGACAGAGACGGAGCAACAGGGAGTATAGATACGGTAGCAGATAGATACGATAGGGGTAGACAAGAGAAGATAGAGTATGGTAGCAGAGGGTAAGAGAACACAGTATCGGATAGCAGCGGAGTAAGGGACCTGGATATAGAAGTCACGACTGAGTGAGACGGCAGGGAGATAAAGAGCGATCGAGCTGAAGAGGGAGCGAGCGGAGCCAGCGGAGCGAGGGAGCGGAGACACATGGAGTGATGTTGATGGGGAGTTGTGGATTGAAGAGAACGGAGAGACATGGAGTAATGATGACGGAGGAGATGTGAACTATATGCATTAATAAAAGAGACGAGAAAGACAAAGAAGCTGTCGCGTCAGTACGAGTCCTACACACCTACAAAGGGCAGCTTACTTCAATAGAGATTACCGTTGGTATGGCTATCATAATACACATGTAGTGAGTTGAACTGATTCACAGATGTACACATGGAGACAACTCGTTTATTTATTACCAACACACGGGGTATATGACCCTTAACAGAATAACAACCTATGGTGGTGACCGCCAGGCTAACTACACTAATTGCAATGTAACTAGCTAATACGGACCAGGTCCAACAGCTCGGGTCCAGGTCCACTTGTTGGAGACTCGTAGAATGCAGGACGCAGTCGAAGATTTCTTCAGGATGAACAACAATGCCAGTCCCTCTAGGGGAACCGGCCTCTGCGGTGTGGCTGGCTCCGCCCTTGGCCACGACCACCTTCCAGAATCCTACAGCAGGATCTTGACCCCGACCACGTGACCACCCCTTGCCCCCACCTGGGGCTCCTTTGTAGACTAACTGGTCACGTGTCCTCTCAGGTCAACCAGAGTGCCATGGTCTCTAGTAACCTTATTCCTACAGCCGGCACTTCCACACCCTATCCTGTAGGGTTGGCACTGCACCCCGAGTATGATGCCATCCAGCGCTATCAATCAGCGCTGACCGAGCCCCTCTAGGGCCAGTACTATACCCACACCATAGTGGTATCCGCGATGTCATTACACTGCTCGCCGTGCCTCTCTAGGGCCGGCACTACACAGTGGCATCCCGCGATGTCACTACACAATAGAAAGGAAGGACAATTTAAAAGGGCTCGAATAATGCACAATGTACATTGCTTCAGTAATGCCCCCCCCCCACGTGGCGCAAGAGCGCCGAAGCAGGGTCTCCACATCTACACCTCTATATAAGGAATGAAACAATGAGACCTCTCCACAAATCTTTGCTGTCGCCTGATGAAGCTGGTTGTAATTACTGGCGAAACGTCGTACTCAGATTGTAAATGTTGTGGCTTGGCTTTCCAACACACTGGTGTGGTGTACTGGTGACGAATTGACATGTTCAGTTTCCGTGACAACGCTTACTAGTTGGCTGGGTTGGGTCGTGGCAGGTTTTTACGACACATTTATATATTTATGCGACCTATTCCGAAAAAATACCTCTTATGTATGATATTGGTCACGAAAGCCTACGTTTTAAACTTTGAGACCCATAGACTAAACTCTTTTATTTGACCAGGAACGGCACCACTGAGCGATGTAGTTCTTTTTCAGAAGCGACCTGGCTATTACAAATGATAGCTCAACAAAGTGGCTGATTGCAATGTGGAAGTAAATAGCACCCAAATACTCTAAACGCGTGACGTTGTTCATAAATGTGGAGGCAAAAACGGGAAGACCCAAAGAAAATGATAATACGACGGGTTAGGATCAAAACCCCGACCTGATGATACCAGGCAAGAGAGTCAACATCTCGTCGCCAAACGGCGCCCACACGCACATACGGAGTAGCTCATTTCTTAGGGAGCCAACCGTGGTCCCCACGTCTCCGCAGGAATCGGTGGCCGGGATCAGAGGTCGAATTACGGGCAAGTTCGCCCGCCTAAGGAAGGCTCTGGATGAGGACGAGAGAGAGGCTCTACGTCGCGTGGCCATGAAGGAGTGCGAGCTGCTGACCCGGATCAAGCAGTACATCGCTCATCACGAGCAGGAGATCGACGAGCTCCAGGCGGAGGTCGCTCGCCTGCGCGCTCTGGAGCAGGTGGGGAGCGCCACTGTGGAGACGTCAACGGTGTCCAGAATAACAGAGCAGGCAGTGGCATAGGAGCTCTAGCTACGTGGGTAGAGACTTCACTCATGATATCTTTATCTCTTCCACAGGGGCACTTGGAGGAGACGCGCAGGTACAGATCCTTAAAGTCTTATGGTTAAACACTCACAACGCAGGATGTGTTTGTTAGACACAAGGCCTCTGTGTGTTAGACACTGGCGGTGTGTGAGAGACAGGCAGTGTGAGACACTGGCTGTGTGTGAGACATTTGCTGGGCATGAGACACTGGTTGTGTGTGAGACACCGGCTGCATGTGAGATACGGGCTGTGTAAGACACTGCCTGTGGGACACGGGATATGTGTGAGACACAGTATGTGTGTGAGACACGGACTGTGTGTGAGACACAGGCTGTGTGTGAGACACGGTTTGTGTAAGACACTGGCTGTGTGTGAGACACGGGCTGTGTGTGAGACACTGGCTGTGTGTGAGACACGGGCTGTGTGAGAGACGGACTGTGTGAGACACGGGCTATGTGTGAGACACTGACTGTGTGTGAGACACTGACTGTGTGTGAGACACTGACTGTGTGTAGACACGGTCTGTGTAAGAAACTGGCTGTGTGTGAGACACTGGCTGTGTGTGAGACACGGGCTGTGTGTGAGACACGGGCTGTGTGTGAGACACTGGCTGTGTGTGAGACACTGGCTGTGTGTGATATGGTCTGTGTGTGAGACAATTGCTGTGTCTGAGACACTGGCTGTGTGTGAGACACGGGCTGTGTGAGAGACTGGCTGTGAGATACGGGCTATGTGTGAGACACGGGCTGTGTGTGAGACACTGGCTGTGTGTGAGACACGGGCTGTAAGTGAGACACGGGCTGTGTGTGAGACACTGGCTGTGTGTGAGACACTAGCTGTGTGTGAGACACGGGCTGTGAGTGAGACACTGGCTGTGTGTGAGACACTGGCTGTGTGTGAGACACGGGCTGTGTGAGACGCTGGCTGTGTGTGAGACACGGGCTGTGTGAGACGCTGGCTGTGTGTGAGACACAGGCTGTGTGTGAGACACGGGCTGTGAGTGAGACACGGGCTGTGTGTGAGACACTGACTGTGTGTGAGACACCGGCTGTGTGTGAGACACTGGCTGTGTGTGAGACACTGGTTGTGTGTGAGACACGGGCTGTGTAAGACACTGCCTGTGGGACACTGGCTATGTGTGAGACACAGAATGTGTGTGAGACAAGGGCTGTGTGTGAGACACGAGCAGTGTGTAAGACACTGGCTGTGTGTGAGACACTGGCTGAGTATGAGACACGGGCTGTGTCTGAGACACTTGCTGTGTGTGAGACACTGGCTGAGTGTGAGACACGGGCTGTGTGAGACACTGGCTGTGTGTGAGACACAGGCTGTGTGAGAGTTGGACTGTGTGAGACACGGGCTATGTGTGAGACACAGGATGTGTGTGAGACGCGGGCTGTGTGTGAGAAACTGGATGAGTGTGAGACAAGGGCTATGTGTGAGACACAGGATGTGTGTGAGACATGGGCTGTGTGTGAGACACTGGTTGTGTGTGAGACATGGGCTGTGTGTGAGACACGGGCTGTGTGTGAGACAGAAGCTGTGTGTGAGACACGGTCTGTGTGAGACACTGGATGAGTGTGAGAAGCTGGCTTTGTGTGAGACATTGGCTGCGCGTCAGACACTGGCTGTTTGAGAGACACGGGCTGTGTGTGAGACACTGGCTGTGTGTGCGACAAGGGCTGCGCGTCTGACACTGGCTGTGTGTGAGACACGGGCTGTGTGTGACACGGTCTGTGTGTGAGACACGGGCTGTGTGTGACACGGGCTGTGTGTGACACGGGCTGTGTGTGAGACACTGCCTGTGTGAGAGACTGGCTGTGTGTGAGACACGGGCTGTTTCTGAGACACTGAGCGTGAGACACGGGCTGTGTGTGTGACACGGTCTGTGTGTGAGACACGGGCTGAATGTGAGACACAGGCTGTGTGTGAGACAAGGGCTGCGCGTGAGACACTGGCATTGTGAGGCACGGGCTGTATAAGACACTGGCTGTGTGAGAGACACGGGCTGTGTGTGTGACATTGGCTGTGTGAGATACGGGCTGTGTGTGAGACAATTGCTTTGTGTGAGACACTGGCTGTGTGAGAGACACTGACTGTGTGTGAGACACTGGCTGTGTCTGAGAAACTGGCTGTATGTGAGACACTGGCTGTGTGTGAGACACAGGCTGTGTGTGAGACAAGGGCTGCGCGTGAGACACTGGCATTGTGAGGCACGGGCTGTATAAGACACTGGCTGTGTGTGAGACACTGGCTGTGTCTGAGACACTGGCTGTGTCTGAGACACTGGCTGTGTCTAAGACACGGACTGTGTCTGAGACACTGGCTGTGTCTGAGGCACTGACTGAGCGTGAGACACGGGCTGTGTGTGAGACACGGGCTGCGCGTGAGACACTGGCATTGTGAGGCACGGGCTGTATAAGACACTGGCTGTGTGTGAGACACTGGCTGTGTCTGAGACACTGGCTGTGTCTGAGACACTGGCTGTGTCTAAGACACGGACTGTGTCTGAGACACTGGCTGTGTCTGAGGCACTGACTGAGCGTGAGACACGGGCTGTGTGTGTGACACGGTCTGTGTGTGAGACACGGTCTGAATGTGAGACACAGGCTGTGTGTGAGACAAGGGCTGCGCGTGAGACACTGGCATTGTGAGGCACGGGCTGTATAAGACACTGGCTGTGTGAGAGACACGGGCTGTGTGTGAGACACAGACTGTGTGTGAGACAAGGGCTGTGTGTGAGACACGAGCAGTGTGTAAGACACTGGCTGTGTGTGAGACACTGGCTGAGTATGAGACACGGGCTGTGTCTGAGACACTTGCTGTGTGTGAGACACTGGCTGAGTGTGAGACACGGGCTGTGTGAGACACTGGCTGTGTGTGAGACACAGGCTGTGTGAGAGTTGGACTGTGTGAGACACGGGCTATGTGTGAGACACAGGATGTGTGTGAGACGCGGGCTGTGTGTGAGAAACTGGATGAGTGTGAGACAAGGGCTATGTGTGAGACACAGGATGTGTGTGAGACATGGGCTGTGTGTGAGACACTGGCTGTGTGTGAGACATGGGCTGTGTGTGAGACACGGGCTGTGTGTGAGACAGAAGCTGTGTGTGAGACACGGTCTGTGTGAGACACTGGATGAGTGTGAGAAGCTGGCTTTGTGTGAGACATTGGCTGCGCGTCAGACACTGGCTGTTTGAGAGACACGGGCTGTGTGTGAGACACTGGCTGTGTGTGCGACAAGGGCTGCGCGTCTGACACTGGCTGTGTGTGAGACACGGGCTGTGTGTGACACGGTCTGTGTGTGAGACACGGGCTGTGTGTGACACGGGCTGTGTGTGACACGGGCTGTGTGTGAGACACTGCCTGTGTGAGAGACTGGCTGTGTGTGAGACACGGGCTGTTTCTGAGACACTGAGCGTGAGACACGGGCTGTGTGTGTGACACGGTCTGTGTGTGAGACACGGGCTGAATGTGAGACACAGGCTGTGTGTGAGACAAGGGCTGCGCGTGAGACACTGGCATTGTGAGGCACGGGCTGTATAAGACACTGGCTGTGTGAGAGACACGGGCTGTGTGTGTGACATTGGCTGTGTGAGATACGGGCTGTGTGTGAGACAATTGCTTTGTGTGAGACACTGGCTGTGTGAGAGACACTGACTGTGTGTGAGACACTGGCTGTGTCTGAGAAACTGGCTGTATGTGAGACACTGGCTGTGTGAGAGACACTGGCTGTGTGTGAGACACCAGCTGTGTCTGAGACACTGGCTGTGTGTGAGACAATTGCTGTGTCTGAGACACTGGCTGTGTGTGAGACACTGGCTGTGTCTGAGACACTGGCTGTGTCTGAGACACTGGCTGTGTCTAAGACACGGGCTGTGTCTGAGACACTGGCTGTGTCTGAGGCACTGACTGAGCGTGAGACACGGGCTGTGTGTGAGACACGGTCTGTGTGTGAGACAAGGGCTGCGCGTGAGACACCGGCATTGTGAGACACGGGCTGTATAAGACACTGGCTGTGTGTGAGACAATTGCTTTGTGTGAGAAACGGGCTGTGTGAGACACGGGCTGTGTGATACACTGGCTGTGTGTGATACACTGGCTGTGTGAGAGACGGACTGTGTGAGACACGGGCTGTTTGTGACACGGTTTGTGTGTGAGACACGGTTTGTGTGTGAGACACTGGCTGTTTGAGAGACACTTGCTGTCTGTGAGACACGGGCTGTGTTTAAGACACTGGCTGTCTGTGAAACTGCCTGTGTGTGACATGGTCTGTGTGTGAGACAATTGCTGTGTCTGAGACACTGGCTGTGTTTGAGACACGGGCTGTGTGAGACACGGGCTGTGTGAGAGACGGACTGTGTGAGACATTGGCTGTGTGTGAGACCCTGGCTGAGTGTGAGACACTGGTTGTGTGTGAGACACTGGCTGAGTGTGATACTGCCTGTGGGACACGGGCTATATGTGAGACACTGGCTGAGTGTGACACTGCCTCTGGGACACGGGCTATATGTGAGAAACGGGCTGTGTGAGACACGGGCTGTGTGAGACACTGGCTGTACGTAAGACACGGGCTGAGTGTGACACTGTCTGTGGGACATGGGCTATGTGTGAGACACATGATGTATGTGAGACACGGGCTGAGTGTGACACTGTCTGTGGGACATGGGCTATGTGTGAGACACAGGATGTATGTGAGACACGGGCTGTGTGAGAGACTGGCTGTGTGTGAGACACGGGCTGTGTCTGAGACACTGACTGAGCGTGAGACATGGGATGTGTGTGTGACACGGTCTGAGTGTGAGACATTGACTGAGCGTCAGACACGGGCTGTGTGTGTGTGACACGGTCTGTGTGTGAGACACGGGCTGTGTGTGAGACAAGGGCTGCGCGTGAGACAAGGGCTGCGCATGAGACACGGGCTGTGTGAGACACGGGCTATGCGTGAGACACTGGTTGTGTGTGAGACACGGGCTTTGTAAGACACTGCCTGTACGACACGGGCTATGTGTGAGACACAGAATGTGTGTAAGACACGAGCTGTGTGTGAGACGA